TCTCAGTAAGTGCGGGGGTAACAGAGAGTCTCCCGAGGGGCTGTGTGGGGGGTAACAGAGAGTCTCCTGAGGGGCTGTGTGGGGGGGGTAACGCAGAGTCCCCCGAGGGGCTGTGTGTGGGGGGGTAACGCAGAGTCCCCCGAGCGGCCGTGAAGGGAGGAGTCCTCTGCTTGTTACTCATGGTAACCGTGCTCCTTCATCAATAATATCTGCTGAGTTATGTTTCACAAGCTGATTCGGGCTGCGTTTGGACCCACACTAGTGTGCCTGTGTGCTTCAGGGCTGACGAGCTGGAGGGGTCAGAGAGTCCTGGGGCCCGTGGAGCAGAATCAGGACCTGAGAGGACTGGGAGTGCGGAGGAGGAGTGAGTGTCGTGACCTCCTGCTGGCGTGGCAGTGCATTATGGGCAGTGACTACAGTAGCACTGATACCTGCCTCCCCCACCCATCTGTCCCCACAGACACTCACGGCTGGGTCTCGAACCCAGCATGCCAAGGAACCCCAAGCCCCTCCCCCGGACAAGCCCACAGCTGGAGCCATGCTCGGAGAGTGTGGCCAGGGGGGGGCCTGCTACGGAACCCCAGCACTCTGACAGCATCACGCGACTCCTGCAGGATGAGCTTTTCAGGCTGGTACAGGTGAATACGGGAAAGACTCGGTCACTGAGCGGGAAAGACTCGGTCACTGAGCGGGAAAGACGCGGTCACTGAGCGGGAAAGACGCGGTCACTGAGCGGGAAAGATGACACGGTGGTGGAGTGAGAAAGATGCGGTTACGGAGGGGGAAAAACACAAGAAAGACGCCACAGTCACAGAGCGGGAAAAACGCGGACACTGAGGTTTGTGGTTACGGTGTGGTACGAATGTGATTACCCCGTCAGTGTACCTGATGCTCAGGATGCCTTCGGACCGCTTAAATGCGCCAACCATCGCTCTGGGAGGATTGTTCATACCCGCATGTCTGCTCACACTTGTTTCTTTTTTTTCTGTCTCCAGTTACAACAGATCAACTTCATGGGTCTCATGCAAACTGTGGGAATGTCATTTACCAACCTGCCCCACCTTCAGTATAACCTGCCCCACTTACAGCCCAACCTGCCCCACTCTCAGGCCAATCTGCCCCAGCTTCAGCCCAACCTGCCCCACTTACAGCCCAACCTGCCCCACTTACAGCCCAACCTGCCCCACTCTCAGGCCAACCTGCCCCACCTTCAGTACAACCTGCCCCACTTACAGCCCAACCTGCCCCAGCTTCAGCCCAACCTGCCCCACTTACAGCCCAACCTGCCCCACTCTCAGGCCAATCTGCCTCAGCTTCAGCCCAACCTGCCCCACCCACAGCCTGATCTGCCCCACTTACAGCCCAACCTGCCCCACCCTCAGCCCAACCTGCCCCACCCTCAGTCTGATCTGCCCCACCCTCAGCCCAACCTGCCCCAGTCTCATTTCACCCTTCCCCTTTTGCCCCATCCTGTTTTGCCTGACTACAACCAATCAATGTTGCCCCAGCTCAGCCAGTCTGTTTTACCCCAGTTGCCTACCCCTGTCCTCCAACACAATGTATCCCCCATCCAGCCCAACACTCAGATCCCAGCTAAGGGCAAAGACTTTTCCGGCACAGCAGCCCTGCCCAAGCAAGCTCTGCAGGTGGGGATTCACACAGGAGCATCAATGACCTGTGTGTGTGTGTGTGTGGGTGTGTGTGTGTGTGTGGCATGGGGGGGCTGCTCAGCGCTGTCTCTGTAGGAGGTGGGGGTGAATAATGGTCTGTCAGCTGATCTCCTCCCTCCTGTTTCTTTCCAGGACTCGCCAGTGCTGGCTGTAGATGCTGACTGGTCCCAGATCAGTCAGATGGGCCAGGACGGTTTACTCCCTGCATCCTCTGGGCTGCTCCGCTCCGTGACTAGCCATGCGCCTGTAGGCATCCCGCTGCTGCTGCCCCAGGACACACCTGAGCACACCCTACCCACAGTGCCCCCAGCTGGGCTCCCGCTGTTACAGCTGCATTCCAATAAGCGGCCTTTGCTGCAGCCACAGCCTCCATTGGTTTCTTCTTCTAGCCAGCTACCCCCTCCCTCGGTGAGAGAGGCCTGGGGACCGGGCCGGAGCGGTCACCTCCCGGTTGACCCGCCGCCCCCAGGTCAGGTGCCCTGGAGTTCTCCGCCTAGGCTCCGGCGTGCGGAACCCCACAGATATGCCCAGTCCCCCGTGCTCCCGTTACTCCGCTTCCACTCCGACGCTCCCCCCACACTCGCCTGCCCCCCCGCCCCGTCCAGGTCCTTCCCTGGGCTAGGGATTCGGCTGCTGCGGACAGAATCCGAGTTCCATGTTAGAGCAGAGCGCCCCCCTCCGCCTCCGCTGCCGACCCCTCGTCTCATTCCCTTGGAGGAGCTAGCAGGAGGGCCCTTGTGGGGCAGCAGGCAGCTTCTCCTCCTGACTGCGGAGAGGCAGCCGCTTACTGCTGAGGCGGCCCGCCACACGGCCCCGAGCTCCGCAAAGAGGTGAGGCAGCCTTGGGCTGGACCCCCTGAGTATATCTGGGGGGTGTTGTTCCTGGGGATTTGCATCTTGCCGTGGGATCTGAGTGCCACTGAGTGTCACTCTGTAGCTGCCCATCGCTGCTGTGGAATCTTCCAGAAGGGTCCAGGGCTATTATCTAATGAAAATTAAAACTCAAACTAGAAGAAACAATTTTTGTAAACAAAATAACATTTAAAAATAAAATTAAAAACTACAACTAAAGTCGAAAACTAAAATACTGCTTCCAAAATGAAATAATAATGCTGTCATACTTTCTGTTACTGTTTAATACTGTTTAATACTATATGGCTTACTTGCAATTTTTTTCTGGTCTCACCATTAGCAATCCCTGGGACATGTTTTTCCCCATTTTGAGGACAGTAGTAAATAATATGCACTGTGTATACATGTAGGATTCTCTATAGATTAGACATACATTTCTACAACTTTCAGTTTATCCTTAGAAATAAAATTCCTAAAACTTAACCTGAAACTAAAATGTATATAAGCTGAATAGAAACATATCTTTAAAATGAATATGAAGAAAACTAAATCTAAACTGCATTTCAGATGAATATTTAAAATGTTATGAACTCAAATTAAGAAGGGGATACTGACCCATGACATGGGTACTAAGTTTTTGCTTTACTTCCCTGCTTTACTTCGCAGGCAGAGGAGGAGGAAGGAGAAGCGGAGAGAGAGGGGGGATGTGGGTGTCACCTTCATGCCAGAAGAATCTGTCACGGCCCCTCCAGCGGAGGTACAGGGGCCCTCGGCACGGTGCTGTTTGTCTGACCTCTGCATGTGTGTTTCTGTAGAGCTGTGGCCTAATCGGCTGGGCTCTTTGCCTTCACAGGTGTGCGCAGAGGGGGCCCAGCCCAGGGTGCCGATGAAGCAGCCTTCTGAGCCCCTTCTCAGTAAGCCGGCCTTCATCTGACCGCTCATTCCGCTATGGGTGTCATTTGAGTTCAGTAGTGAGAGTGACCTTTGACTTATGTTGCCACAGTGACGTGTGACCCCGTGCTGACGGGCCAGGAGCTTGTGGCAAAGGCTTGGTCCACTGCGGCTGAGCTGCATGCTTTTGCCTGCACACAGAAGGCAGCCCCGGAAGTCCACGATGCGTGCACCAGCACCGACCAAGGTGTGTCCCATTTGCTCCCTCACCGGTGTCTCTGGGGCATGGTCCCACCCTACTGTGTTGTAAAGGATCTGTGCAGATTGGTCAGCATTAGACTGTAGTCTTCGCACATGCTGTGTGTCTGTAGGACTCGCCTGTCATCCCATAACAACTTGACTCATCTGTAGTCATGTGGTGTAAGTCAGAAGCTTTGATTGGCTGTCTCTGGTCCTTGTAGCTTCTCCCATCTCACTTGCGGACAAAGCCGTTTCTGCCAAGTTTCCTGCGTCTCTGACTGCTGACCCGGGAAGTAAGTCGTGCTGCTTTCCGCAGAATTACTCGTATGTGTCCAGGGTTGCCCACTCAGCTGAGATTGAGATTTTCAATTTGAGACAAGTCTGCACACACATGCACATGCATTTATATGGATGTAACAGTTTATTACCTTATAAATAGCTTGTAGGATTTGAAAACTACCTCAATGTTTTAGATGTAGCTAATTTTAGGTTTATAATGGAATAATATTGATCTGCCATAAGATATCTTGCATGAGATGTGGGAATCTGAAAGTGTGATTAGCAATCCTGAATGTCATGTTCTGTCACCCTCTTCTACTGTATGGGAAGAATCTTCCATTTAAATGTTATCTGGGTTACTAGTGTGCTAGTTGTGAGACCGTGAATGCCTAGGGCTTAGCATTGGGGTTACTAGCATGCTAACTGTCAGACCGTGAAAGCCTAGGGCTTAGCATCGGGGTTACTAGCATGCTAGCTGTCAGAGCGTGAATGCCTAGGGCTTAGCATCGGGGTTACTAGCATGCTAGCTGTCAGACCGTGAATGCCTAGGGCTTAGCATCAGGGTTACTAGCATGCTAGCTGTCAGACCGTGAATGCCTAGGGCTTAGCATCGGGGTTACTAGCATGCTAACTGTCAGACTGTGAATGCCTAGGGCTTAGCGTTGGGGTTGCTAGCATGCTAACTGTCAAAGTGTGAATCCCTGGGGCTTAGCATCATGGTTGCTAGCATGCTAACTGCCAGAGCGTGAATGCCTAAGACTTAGCATCGGGGTTACTAGCATGCTAACTGTTAGAGCGCGAATGCCTAGGGCTTAGCATCAGGGTTACTACTTGACATTGTCAGTGTGTTGTCTGTCCAGCGGGTGAGCAGCGGGAAGCTGCAGTTGTGCCCCCTGATATCTTCTTGGACCTGAGGTTCCCCCAGGACCTACGTCCTCATGGTCCTGAGACCCAGGAAGCCCCAGCACAGGCGGGGAAGAAGGTAAGAGGGTGCCCACTTCGGGAAGCTTTAGCGGCAGTGGTGTCACACAGCCATGGCTGTGACAGGAGTCGGCGACTACCTTAGGGCTTCTGTCCTCCTCAGGTGGGCCGCGGATTCATCAATGTCATCGACCTGGAGGACGTGGCCTTATTGCGGGAGCTGCCGCCCCGTCCGTCCCTTCATACCCAGGACCGCCCTCGCTCGCCCCCACCCTCCAGCCAGCTCCACCTCCTCGCTGCCTCTGTCACAAACTCCGCCCCAGCAGAGCTGCCTGTTACAAACTCCCCAGTGGGGGCCCCGCTTGCTGAAAGTGAGCTCAGTTCAGCTCGAATTCCTCACCTCATTGTCCCAGTAATTTGAGCTGCGGGCCCCTAATGGTAGTGTAGCCTTACCTGGAACTGACAATCAGCTCGTTTCACACACCTCCCAGTGGATGAATGCTGTGACCTGTGGTATCCCTGGATACGAGGTCGCCTGGTTCAGCTGTAGATGTTGAGGATTGGCTGCCCATGTCCGAGACACAGTGAATGGCCAGTAGGGGGCAGACTCACTAACCCTGGTCTTGCGCCTCACACCCCTGCTGCCTTTCTCCGATCCCCAGGACCTCCTGTGGGGCTGGCTTTTCCAAGCGCAGCCTCCCGGCCCGGGGATGATGCTGTGGTGCTCAAGCCACCAGCAGGACATGATGCTAAGGGGCAGGATTCTCAGGGGCGGGGTGAGCCGGACCGGTGGGCGATGTCCAGGAGGCAGGCGTGGAGCCGCCTGTCGGAGATGGATGCCCAGCTGAGTGCCTTGCAGAGCATGGCCGACCACATGGAACGGGAGTTCGCCAACAGCAGGATGGTACCCTGTCTGACTCAGCCCCCTCCCCACCCCACCTGTCCCCTGTGCCTCTATGCAATGACACCCCTGTATCCCGGCCACCTCTGTGTCCCGAGTGTCTGCCGTGTCTCTCATTTCACTGACAGAAGTCTTCCTTGCTCAGCTGGTGAGGACCATAGACACACTGGGTCCACTCAGCTGTGAGCCCCCCAGCCCGGAGCCCCGCAGCAAGGTCGGCGTGAAGGTCGCAGAGGAAGGTAAGGTGGGGGGGGTGGGCGTGCTCTCAGACTCGCTGTTCATGATGAGGGTCCAGTGATGACCAGAATCCCCCGCCCCCCTGTGTCAGCCTCCAGAGTGAGTCATCCTCCGAGGCACATAGACCCAGAAGATGAAGAGGTGGAGGAAGAGGAGGAGGAGGAGGGTCATCAAGGCTATGGAGCCGAATTTGATGTCCCTGCATTGGTCACTGGTCCCCCAGACCCAAGGACACGCTTTTGCAGCTCTCCGCTGCCTGCTGCTGTGGACGGCGCCACCTACCTGTCACCTCCCTCCCTGCAGGGTAACCCCAGCCTGTGTCTCTCTCTTGATCTTTATGTCTAAATGCCTGTCAGTACAAACTGACACCTTCGATATGGGAACCATCAAATGAAGATACAGGCTCTGCGGTGTTGAGTGTCCTGCAGAGTGACGCGGCTCACTGGAGCCCCTAACCCTCCCTGCTGAATGTGTACCTGACGCGTAAGCTGACACCCCGTGCTGGCAGTGCGGTGTCACTGGGAGCACGCTCACGCAGCCGGCCCCGTCACGCTCGTCGGGCATCTGCATTTTGTGCCTTTGCTCTCCTACTCTCCTCCTCACCTCGTCCATCTGCCGTTTCCTCCTGCAGACTTGGGCACCATGGCGACCGGCCCTGGACGGTAAGTGGCGGTATGGCGTATGAGACCGGACTTGGTGGCACTGGGGCTCGTTACTTTGACCAACTCACCGTGCCACCCCCAACCGCCCTGCCCCCCCAGGCGGCCAGAGGAGTCCCTAAACCTGTCGGGGCTCAGCGACGTGGGGGACATCCTCGGGGAGCTGCTGCGGGATGGGGCCATGTCGGCGACGAGCCTGGGTCTGTCACACACGCAGGCCGCCAGGCTGAGAAGGTGCGTGCCAGTAGCTCCAGCTCCAACCACAGAACGCACCGGGCCTGTCTCTGTGCTGATACTGTGCTGTGCCTTGTTCAGACACTATGGTTCCTCTCACAGGCAGGGAGTGCCGCAGGCAAGTCAGGCAGAGGAGGAGCAGCAGGAGGTACAGGTGTGGATGAGGAGCAGACAGAGGGAGCGGTTGGCGGAGTACCGAAAACAAAGGGAGGAGCGAATGGAGCAGGAGCGCAAACCCTTCAGAGGCACCACAACCCTGGTGAGAGTTGGGCTTAGAGAGCGCGGCTGATCTGGGGAGACATGCTTGGCGTGGGGCCTCGCCGGCGCCCCCTAGCAACACACCCAGCCTCTTGCTGCGGTTAATTAAACATTCTTTGCATCTTCTTTTGCGTCTTTTCTTTTCAGAAGCCGACATCCAGGGATATCACGCTCAACAAGAAGGTCAAAGAAGAGAAGGACAGGTAAGATCGGATGAACGTTTATCAGCCTCTTCAGACATGGCTGACCGGCGTGACTGTGCCTGTGCGTGCAAGCTGCGCTCTGTAGATGGTCACGTAATCCTCCTTCCCACAGGGCGGCTCTGCTGCAGCACCACAGTCAGAGAGCTCAGGAGGCCTGCAACTTAATGGCGGACCTGCTCACTGCATCGCAGGCCCTGCCCGTGTCCTCTCTGGCTCCGCCCCCAACACAGAACAGCACCCGTAGCAGCACCAGGTCAGGAGTAGCCTAAGTTACTGATTGGCTGCTTAACCAGTGGAGGCGGAGCTGTAGTGTGATTTGCACTGATATGTTCCAGGGTGGGGCTGCAAAACAGGAGTAAATCCACTGGGAGAGCAGGGAGGAGTCACAAGTCCCCAGCAGGGCTCCGCTCGCTGTCTTCCCCAGGCAGGGTGACCGGGGCTCAGGCCTCGCGGGCCAGCAGGTTGGGCCTGCACAGACCTGGTGGGTTTCCGGTCCACACAGGAATATTCTCCCACACGATTTGAGAAATTAACTAACTAGCCCATGCCTTGATCTTTCCGGTACGTTCCTGTTCCTGGGGGGGACAGCCAAAGCCCTCCCTAGCGACCGTCTGTCCCAGGTTACGCAGCGGGGCATGCTGACCCGCACGCGAGACTGCACAGGCAGGGTGCAGGCTGGGATCCGGGGCAGGACGCGGCTGCCCCCACAGCCCCACAGTGCGCCGGGAGCTGGAGGTGAAGACCGGTGCGGCGATAGCCCCAAGGACATGGAGGACCGGGATGTGGTGAGCCCCTGGGAGCCCCCCCTGGAGATCCGGAGGCTCCTGGGGCTGGAGAGCCTGGAGTGGGGACAGGTACAGGCTTACACAGCGGCACAGATGCATCTGTTCCTGTGTTATTTATGTTATGTCTGTTCTGTTAGGGGCCCCATGTGTTTCCCTTGAGCCCTGATCCATTTGTTTAATGCCAAACTGAGTTTATTAAGTGCAACAACGTATGTTGACCCCCCTGTGCTCTCTGCCCTCTTCCCAGCGCCCGTGGTCGGACTCAGCCCAGGCTGCCGGGATGGAAGCCGGATTTCAGCTGGACAGCGTGTCAGAGAGTACAGGAAGCATCCTCAGTAAGCTGGACTGGGCTGCTGTGGAGGGCTTGCTGGCAGGAGAGGGGTCAGGCTGATCATACATGCAGGGGGCCAGCTTGTGCCCTGCATACTCAGTTGATTTACCTTGGATTTTATGCGCACTATGTGTTTAATAAATGTAATTTTTAAGCCATACCTGCATCAGATTTTTTAATTCACTTCCCTTTTTGGGTGATAGCATGTGGCTCAATGGACTAAACCCCTGTGTCTGTGATTGGTAGGTCGCTGGTTTGAGCCGGGCTTTCAATTGAATTTATTTTTATATAGCGCCTTTCACTCGGAGTCGACCGACGATGCTTTACATGGGTGTGTTGTGATACAACACCATTAAGACTATAATACAAAGACCGGGAAAAGGAGGACAAAATAAATAAAAGCAAAGAAAAAAAGTCAGATGACAACGGAGGAGAGGAAACAAAAACTCCCAAGTAGGGTGGAAAGGAAAAGTCTGGGGGTCCAAGGTAAACTGGCTGCCAAACTCCCCCCCCCAAGGGGGCAGATTGAAGGCTGCATCCACAATATAACATTTCGTAAGTCACATCAGCGTTCCGTGAGGCTTGAGCAGAATAGTCACGTCTGTGGGCCCTTGAGGTGCCATGCTTGCTCTCACCTACACGTGTGTCTGTGTGTGATGGAAAGAAAGTGAGGTAGGAGAAAAGAATTTCCCCACAAGGATCAATGATTATTATTACTGTTTTGTGAGACACTTGATAGGAGCAGATCTTTAATAATATTATTGCATCATCTTTGTAAATGGATTTAAAAAACATCCTTTCACATCAGAAACTTCCCACAAAGAAATAAATGACATAAAAAAATAAGATGAAATTATTTCAGAACATAATCCAAGTTTACGTTAATTGGCATTATAAGAAATAATTTCACATTTGATTATTTCATTTACGTTTTAATTATTTCATTTTGTCACAAAAAGCGTTCCATAGGAGAGGACACGTGAAAGTTGTTTGACTTGAACTACTCAAATATATACAAACTGATCAATCCGTGTTTCATTCCAATCAGCGAGGAATACGGATACATGGCTGGTACAGTATATGAATAGCGTGAAGTTCACCTCCCGAGCACTAGATGGCAGCGGCTGCTTTCTGCTTGCTTGGTTCCCTCTTTGCAGTAGCTCAGTTCACAAACATCCTGGTTGGTCGCCGTGGGTTTAGAAACATGGAAAGCCGCGAAGGTGAGAAATATTTTTTGAACTTGTTTTCTAGCTTTATGGTGCTCGTACATTAGCTGGCCAAATATATAGGCTATATATAGGCTGCTGTAGTTTTTCATATTATATTTACCGTTATTGAGCTACAGAGCTGGATGGTCTCGTCAGCGTCTGTCAGTAGAGTAGACTGTTTTGTGTATATGCACACCTGCCTGGAGTTTAAGCACAGACCGATTTATTCCATTACAAACCGCAGTATGTAATTTTACCCGGTTTCGTCTCGCTCTTGATGCTTGATGCGTCTTTGCATACTTTCATCAGGGTTGCCAACTCTCACGCTTGTGCCGTGACACTCACGCTTTCAGACTCACGCACACGCAGGAAGTCTTACGGCAAATATATCCTATTCCATTAGAGACCTAAAATTAGCTACATCTGAAGCGTTGGGATAGTTAGAAAACCATACACACTATTCACGAGGTAATGAAACTTTTACATGCATGTAAATGAGTGTGCAGACTTCTCTCTAATTGGAAATCTCACTCCAACCAGATGCCCAAAGTTGACAACCTTGCTTTCAGACTGCAGTCAGCCATGGTTAAAGTAGTAGTTCTTAAGTCAAGGAGCAGATTTGTTGTTTTATGGGTCTAAGTTTCTGTCTGTTTTCCTCGTTCTGGTCCTTCAGCCTCCCAGGGCACCAGCAATGACAGTGACATCACGGCTGTCATGGGCTTCTCCGGCTTCGGTATGTCACGATCATTTTTCAAAATTTGAAACACATAAAATGGGACTTTTCCATTGCCTCACAGTCCTTTTTATTTTTCTGTCCATCCAGGAAAGAAGGCTCGCACGTTTGACCTGGATGCCATCTTCGAGCAGACCCGGCGGACAGCCATAGAAAGGAGTCAGCGAGTCCTGGGTGAGCAGCTTCTGTGGGCTGAGAGCTGGCTAGAGATCACAAGTCTTTCTACCAGACTAGCGGTATCCCCTGTATAAACATTATTGAACTTTACAGAACAGTTTCCTGTGATCACTTTTCCCTTGACAAAAACAGTCTGTGTGTGTGACCTGTGTGTATCCCTGTACACACGTATGAGAGTTTATCTGATGGTGGTGTGTATATATGTATGCTGCTCAGTGGAAAGGCAGCAGGAGGTTGAACAGGAAATGGCGGCCGGCTCCGGGCCCAGTGGAAACACACCTCCCAGTTCCGGCCCCAGGTAAGGTCCTGCCCCCCTCTACGTTATGTTTTTAATTATGATTACAGTCCTGTGCAGCCTGTGCCGAGGATATACCTTTATCAGCAGGATCCCTCTGCTGCCATCCTGTGGCTTTTTGGAGTAATGTCTCTGTCTCTCTGTAGGCAGACACCAAAGGACGACAGCAGCAGCGGCTCTGACTCCGATTCAGACTCCAAGCTTATAGGGCCCCCTGTCCCTCCTGGGGCAGGTGTGGATGAGAGTGAGGATGAGGATGAGGATGATGATGATGCTCCCGTGGGGCCTCCACTGCCTCCAGGATATAGAGGCAGCACGGCAGATGACGACGACGAGGATGAAAATGAGGATACGAAGGATGAAGAGGATGATGTGAGTTAATCAGGAAGATGATTGTGGGATACGTCTCCATTGAGCAGACGGCCCTTTCGGGCAAACCTGCTTTCTGTTCTGTTGCTTTGGTGCACTGGTGCCATAGATTATCTGTCTCTGAGAGCCCAGCACCTCATTTCTAACATGCAGTGGGTGTTCTGAAGACTTAATATGTTCCTCCACATGGTGGCAGCACAATACCAAAGGCTGAAACTTCAGTAATCTCCATGAGTCATTCCATATCAAATCACCCAGCTTGAGGAAAAATTTCCCAGGTCGCCCTCTGAAAATTCCAAACAATGTGACATTGGAGAGCCTCTCACTCAGATAGATAAAGCACTCAGAGTTTTTCTTTCCTGTCATTTGACATATTAGGTTATGTTTATGCGGAAACCTTATGTATTACTGCTATTAGGACTGCTAGAATAATTTTTTGAAATGTGCTTAATTTTTCACAATTGGTCAAACGAAGACATGAAAATAAGCAATTGTGAAAGGCAGTTAACCATCATTTTCACTTATTTGCCATGTAGTCTTCTTGAAATAAGTCTTTGTGGTAATTCTGAAACTAAACTATGGTAATATTTGTGTTTTGGTTGAATTTGTATGGCAACAAAAGCCCAGCAGCTCATTCTTAACTCATAACTCCAGGAGGAAGCTCAGCAACACCAGATTTTTGTCAGATCACCTTTGGATACATAAGCATACATGGTAAAAAACACATGAAAATGATTGTTTGATCTGATTACATTATTGAATTCTATGGACAAAGTTGGCCCTATTCGCAAAGTTTCAAGGCCGCACCGAGGGAGCTATGAATGCTGGGAGCTGGAACAAAACGAAGTCAGCAAAACGCATAAAATTAAAATGTCGAAAGGCTGTAGTTTCAAGACTATTAGAGATACAGACCTAATATTTGGAATTTCCCCATAAGTTTGGTATAGGAGCATCTGAATTTTTTTCCGGGAAATCTATGGGGGTGACCTGGGACCCCCTGGGTGATTTGGTATGGGATGACCCCCATCCATCTCTTGGCTCATGTCAGCTTCTGATGTTGATATGCCCCAGAGGACTGCCTGTTAGATATTGCCCTGGCACACTGCTCACAGGGTGTAAACTCTGCAGCTGGGGTTGTGATTATACACTCCCTGCAGAATTATTAGGCAAGTGTGTATTTTACTTGTATCTTCTCTTCAGACCGATATTTTCAATCCTGGTGAATCTCCACTTAAGAATGGGCCGTTTAAAAATGGAGCATGCTCACAATTTTGTATTCGTTCTTTCTTTTTGGAGTATAACATGAAACCGTGAATTATTACGCAAACAGTTATTACACTATTAAAATCAGCCAAAAAGGACATTACAGAGAGCAAAAGTAAACAGAATGGTAAAGCACTTGTTAGTGGGATGGAAGGCAATCAAAACTGTCAAACTTATAAGTCGTGATCGCCGTTCAGTGGAATGTTTTGTGGCCAACAGCCAGACGAAGATGGAAGAAGCTTGTGGAGAGAAGACGATATAAATTAACTGCATGAGATATGTGTCAAATCGAAGGGGAGACTTCCAGAAACACTTTAGTATCAAGTGTCTTCATCTTTCAAGCTGCAGTCCAAACTCCATAAGGCACACAAGCTAAAACCATCAAGAATGGGCAGAGTATCAAGGCTGATTTTACATTGGTTTTGTGGGATGAGATGGGAGTAGCTCCGCTGACCAGATGAATGGACCAGTGGACGGATTTGTAATGGGCATCATAAACTGTTCCGAATCTAGAGCGAAGGAGGGGTATGAAAAGCGATGGTGTGGGCTGCAGTTATCAGTGAATTTCCGACTTGCAGATGGTGTAAATGCTCTAAGATCTGCTGCTCACTTTTATAAAATAACTTCTTCGAACACTGTTAAAGAGTAGTCCGCAGCATTTGAAAAGGCTATGAAATTTATACAGGACAGTACCTCTTCCCATGCATCAAAGCATTCCATAGATTGGCCAAGGAAGGCTGGAAAGGTGACTGAATTTTGACTAGGCCGCCTTCATCGCCTGACTTAAGCCCCATTGAGAACTGCTGGGCCTTAGTGAAGTGTGAGATTTGTCAAGGCAGAGCATCTCTGAGCAGCGTCTGGGAGGCGGTCCTAGCTGGGATCACCCTGGGCGCACCTGCCCTCCTCCTGCCCTCATCACTGCCCAAACCAACTTAACCTTCTTAACCTCCTGCCTGTCTGGGCAGCTTCTACCTTACTGTCCATCAGAGGTTGGACCTGCAGGAGTGGAAGATCTCAGCCCAGGCTGTCTTGGGCTGTAACTGTTTGAGACAGAATAGGTGGATATAACAAAAATTGTATTAGCACTGCAGACACGTGCAGGGTCTTGGGTCACAGTGCTGTGGGAAAGATGGGGGTGGGGGTGGGGGGGTTTGTAGAGCCTTCTATCAAAGTTTGGGTCCTATGAGCTCTGCTCTTTTCAGCTGAGTTAATGATCTGCTTACCCCACTATTCACAGAACCCAGTGAAGAGGATTCCGGACACACATGAGATCACCTTGCAGCACGGCGGTAAGACGGTAAGTCTTGGCCCCTCCCCTACTGCTAGTCAAGCCAGCCTCCAGCAGGTGGCGCTCTGTCCACCCTGCTGGCCCTGCTAAGCCCAGCAGTAGTGTGGCGCCATGGTTTGCTCTCTGTCATACTGTATGTGGTTAGTGAGCTCTCCACACTTGTTAGCAGCTCTGCTCGTGTGCTGTGAGTAAACGTGACCTCCATTCCCAGCTGAGCCCCCTGTCCCCGCCCAGGTTTCAGCCCTCGCTCTGGATCCTTCCGGGGCCCGGCTGGTAACCGGGGGCTACGACTACGAGGTGAAGTTCTGGGACTTTGCCGGCATGGATGCGTCCCTGCAAGCTTTCCGCTCGCTGCAGCCGTGCGAGTGGTAAGTTCCCCTTTGGGGGGGGGGGGGCACCGTTTCACCCTGCTCTCATTCCTCCAGCCTGCAGAAACTGTCCTCTCCCTCCCCGTCACAGCAGTGAAAACCAAGACCGGAAGGGGAGCACTGGGTGGCTTGGCTGAGCGCTGCTGCCATGTGGATCCCGGCAAGGCTTTCGGGAGTTAATGGGCCGGGCAGTGCCGGTACTCCCGGGTCACACAGGCAGAACTGCATGGCACATTAGCAGGGGAGAGGGGCTGCTGGGAGGCAAATGGAGCGTGCTGCACTTACCAGGGCCCCACGCTAGGCCGGGGAGTGGGACTCCCCTGGAACGACGGGCGGGGTGTTCCCGGGAGTCACGCTGAACCCGAGAGCGTCAGGACCTCACACTGTGTGTGCACTGTTATACTGTGCAGAGGGATTTGAGAGGGGCAGTTGTGATGCAGTGGTGACAGTGATGATCGCGATGGTCACTTGTGATTGTGGTGATTGTTGTGCTGGTAGTAGCGGTTGTAATTGTGGTGATTGTGGCAGTTGTGGTGATGACTGTCCTCCCATGTCAGTCACCAGATCAAGGCCCTGCAGTACAGTATCACTGGTGATGTCATCCTGGTGGTGGCTGGCAATGCCCAGGCCAAGGTGCTGGACCGAGACGGCTTCCAGGTTATGGAGTGTATTAAGGGGGACCAGTACATCGTGGACATGGCCAACACCAAGGTAGGCAGCCTGAGCCGTCCTGCTCTGAGGATGTCCAAGTTTTCTTCTGTATTTCCGTTGCTTTGCTCTGTGGCTGTGAGTGATTCACCCTCCACCCTGCACGGCTCTGGGAGGTGGGCCGGCCTTTTTTGCTGCCCTCTGGCCCTAATTCAGCATCCCACACATTGGGATGCACAGGCTAACGCTCTCTGATTGTAGCGGAAAGCTAGTTTAAGGCAGCTGTCATCTATAGCAGCAACTGACCCTCCGACGGCTACTAGTACTAGTGGTTAGCTAGTGCTGGTGTAGCGCCCACCTGACTTGTAATGTACACCAGTCGTAGAAGATGACTAGCACCCCCTGCGAGCTCCAGTGGCAGGCTAGTCCCCCCCTACAGGCTCTGGGAGGCCATGTCACATAAACAGCAGCGCACAGTAATATCTCTGGCAGCGTGCCTAGGCTGGCTGACTGACGGTGGGGGCTGTTTGCAGGCCCAGTGACTGGGCCCTAGGTTTGAGAGCCCCCTCCCAGAATACCCTGCTTCGTCCAGCTGCCCGGTCATCTGGGACTTAGTCCGGTTTTGTTTAGTTATCGCCAATTTGCACTCTTGTTCTGTGCAGTGAATCGGTGCCTGGTGAAGCGACTCTAATTAGAGTGAGGGGTACGGTTAGGGCCCCCCCTGCGCTTGGCGAGGGTCCGCACCGTCCCGCCCATCTTTATTTAGCCTGTTTGTTGCTCTCCGGGGAGGCATCGGGCTTCCTGGCTGCCTCTCTCTGCTCCGGCTTGGTTTCCCTGTAGCTGAACCCTGAACAAACGCCCGCTTTCTGTCCGCTGCTCTTCCTGCCTGTTTGTGGGGGGGGGGGGGGGGGGTGCGGCGGGACCCCCGTGGTCCTCTGTGTTTTGGCAGGAGTAGGCAGGAACCTCACCAGCTGTCCGCCATCCCCTTATGCCGCTAGCCCCTTCTCCATCCTCCTTATCAAAGTTATTTGTTTCTACTGACACTCTCCAGCTTCCATTGCAGTGTTGTCACGGTCTTGACTAGTGTTGGCTGTGGGTCAGACTGGGGGGGGTGGGGGCTGGCTGGCACTTGCACGCTAGCTACCCACCCCTGCTTAAAGTGGGTTAGAGTCGATCCGAGCTGCAGATGCTGGTTACTGATTATTGGAGGCGTGGCCTGTCTCTTGGCTGCTGATTGGTCCTGTCCTCCACAGGGTCACACGGCCATGCTCAACGGTGGCTGCTGGCATCCCAAGATCAAGGAGGAATTCCTCACCTGCTCCAATGACGGGTAAGTGGGGTAACACATGCCTTCTGCCTAAGGGAGAGCTTGTGCATGTGTTTGCAGCCCTCTTATTAAAACTATGGTGATTATGGTGTTTTCATCTGCAACAAAGTTTGTTTAGCTTATGGCTCCCGACTGACCTTTTCACCTCTTCATGAAGTCCGGTACATTCAGTCCAGTAATCTTTAGCTCCTTTCAATACCTATAACTTAACAGCGCCACCTCTGAATTTGTGGTGTTATTAATCTAACTGCCTGCAGGGGGCAGCAGTGCACAGCTGATGGGGGGGCAGAATTCCGTTACAGTAGAGAGCACACTTACTCCCTCCCCTACAGAGCTGAGCGCCCTATAAAATGCTGGGGTGGCTTTGTTGTGAAGCCACACACAGGCCTGGGGGCCCTTCTTCCGCTGGGGCCCCCCATTCACAGTGCGCACACTGCTGTTGCCAGGTGAATGCGAGCTGGCGGGGGCCCGACAGAGCTGAGAATAGGGGCTCGTCTGTCCGCATGGGTTTTGTCTGCTCTCCTCCTGAATCACCCATTTACTCTTTAAGCCAATTAAGCAAGCGGTTTCCCAGGGGGTGGCACTATGGGAACGGAGTAGCCATGGAGGGGGGAACAAGGGCACCTTTCAGACCGGTCACAGTCCCTGGACCCGTCCCTGCTGCGTGCCTTTCTCCAGCAGCGGACGCCGAGGGACCCTGGGGAAGTGCATCCTGTGGGCATGCTCCTAGGGTGGTCTTCCTGGGGGGGGGGTCTTTGCTTCTGAGTTTGCACCCTGGGCTCTGTCTGACGGGAGTCTTGGTGGGATGTGGAAGCTTTGTGTGCTATTTTTAACAAAGTTAAATTAAGCATGATTCACTTCTCTGGTGGGGCTGAAGCCCCCTGAGCAAACTCCCATCCCCCCCCCACCACCCCCCCGCCCGGTGATGATCTGGGGTCAGTGGGCCTTCTGGTGAATTGGCCCCTCCCTGCACCTTGACAGACGGGCGGCTTTTTTCTGGACACTAGCTGTGTATTGATGAGCTCCTGCTCCTCACTGATGCCCCCCCCCCCCCCCCCCCGGTTCCGGAAGCTGTCTGATGACCACTCAGTAACCTCACTTTGCAAACACTCCATGTGCAGGATTATTACCATAATCCTGTGTTTCTTTGTACAAGACAAATTGACGAAGCATAAAAATGTCACTGAACGGTCAAGCAACAGTTTGAGGAACTGGGGTGGGAGTTTGGGATGTTTGGGGGTGGGAGTGCTTGAAGCTGTGACATCATAGGATCATGGGTCGCCATAGTGATATGGACTAGACCTCCCATACTCTGGTACTGAGGGGTTTGGGCCGACTGCGCAATTTGTCTATCTGGACTGCAGCACAATGCTACTGTGTATGCCTGTGGAATCCCACTCGCTTGGCTCGCCTGGGGGGGTGACGGCCATCTTCCAGCTGCCTGCCGCTGGGATCTGGGGGCGATGGCTGATTCGGGTGTGACACCAGTTTAGTGTCTGTTTGAGAGAGACGGGCCACTTTTTGAAAAGTGATCCTGTGTTTTGAAAAGAATGGAGAACCTGACATGAACGGGAGGTCAAAGGGCAAACACGCGTGTTGCCGGAACAGGTGCTGGGACAGCCGGGCCCCGTGTGGACAGCTGGGGGCCGCTCTGAGCATGTGGGCCAGGCAGGACCTCTGACGCTGCAGGGTCACCTGCTCCCTGAAGCGTCTCGAACCCCTGTCCGTGCTCCCCAGCCCTGCCTGAGGTCACCTCTGCCCGGCTGTCCCCATTGGTGACCGGAGAGGGCACAGGGCATTACCTTGGCATGATGAGAACCCTGGCAGAGGTGTTAAGGTACTGTGACCTCTTTGAGGTCCCATCTGGACAGATTGACTGAATTTGGTCAGATTCTTGACTCCTGACCCCTGACCTCTGGGGCCTAGGCTCTGTGCTTACATGTGCACCCCTCTGTGGTGGCGGAGCTTTTCAGCCCTGATGTGTTCAGCAGGTGGAGAGGTGAAGACTGGCAGGGTTCATATGGTCATGAAAATCCTGGGAAAATTAAGAAATCACGTTTTCCAGACCTAGAAGAGTTGTGGAAAGTAAAAAATATCAAACATTTTTGGAAAGTTCATGGGATTTTTGAGAACTACGTTTTTTTTCCCCCCAATCAATCTTCGCAGTATAACCCTGTTCCTCTTGAGCAGTATCTTGATTATACCTTGTGGGGACATTTCTCCAGTCCTCACAAGGGAGAACTCAATTTCATTTAAAAAAAAAAAACTAATAATGCCAAAAGTCTTGTATTTTTTTGGTTACTTGTGAAGGTTTGGGCTCAGTGTGTGAGGTTAGGGCTCAGTGTGTGAAGGTTAGGGCTCAGTGTGTGAAGGTTAGGGCTCAGTGTGTGAAGGTT